GGTCAACCAGCCTAGTTCAGCTCGTCGCCACCTGCTCCCTCCTCCTTTGATGGCGAAGCCAGGTTACTGAGGCAATACAGCTCCCTCTAGCAAACCTAGGGCCGTGTAGTGCCCGTCCACCTTTCTGATGGTGTCTGCCTCCGCGCACAAAAATGAGATGGGCATCACTGCCAACGCCGACGGCCAGAAAGGCCCGCGCATCTACATTTATTTTCCCGCCTGACCCCATCAATGCCGACCCAACTCTACCACCACACGCACACCTCGCGGCGGATGCGCAGCAGCAAGAAGGTTTCGGTCATCCGTTGAGGGTGAGTCTAGCCCTGCTCGCCAGAAAGACCCCCCCCTTCACTACAACCCATGTCTAAGCATAAGCTTGTCGAGGAGCGTGGGGAAGAAGGGAGAGTGGTGCATCTAAGATTTGCGTCTGTATGGGTGCATCAAAATTTTGGAAAAACAGGAAGGAACCAGATGGTCCCATCGAACGCTACCGGTCGCCGTGGCGCCACAACGCCCATACATGGGGCCAAATATTGGTAAGGTCGGCGGAACTTTAAAACAATAACAAAGATTTAGAGTACCTAGACTTCCCGCTCCAGCTAATCAGAGGTCTAGTTGGTAAGGCCTTGGTAAGGCCAGGCAGTTTCATTGGGTCATGCTGCCGATGTAGAACCGAAACAAGGGACGCACACACGGACAACAACAGGAACACAGGGATAAAACCACAGCAAGCACAGGAGAGGCCGCGCTTGCTCTGCCGGTGGGTCTTTTTGGTGCCTGCGACCCCTCGCTCAAGACGGCCGTATCAACCCAGCAGCGCCGCGACCCAGAGGTGCCGGTACTGTGCTTGCCAGACCACAGCAGCAGGCTCCGACTCCAGTTCCAGAGCCCCTTTCCTTGGCCCAGAACCCTGGCGGCTGCCAGCATGTGTCGGTGAGGCAATGGCAAACATCGTATGGCACTCACTATAACGACGCGTGGATTTCGCTTCTTCCGTTCATCGCAGGATGGGGTCTGCCGACGCCGGTCGAGCGCTGCATTCCGGCGCTGATAGCGTATCTCTACCCAGTAATGTTTGCGGTATCACAGGCGGCGCCAGCGCCCACACCTGTCAATAATCCCTACAACAGCCGAGGAGGAATAGCACGCCCAGCAACGCCCGCACCCGCACAACGCGGCCAACGAGCGCCGGCACCCGCAGCAGCGGCACCTGCCGCCTCCTCAGGCCCAAGGAGAGCCGGGGCAGGGCGTCCTCCTGGTACTACGAACAAGCCTTGGCACAAGAAGCCAGGGCGGAACGCCATGACTGCGGCAAACGAGCAAGCCGTCAGAGACACGCCAACGCTCACTTCTATGTGGCGATCCGCAAGTGCCCCCGCCGCTTCCCCGAGCCCCAGCAGCAGCAGTGGGGCAAGCGGCGGTGGGTCGGCGATCCAACAGCGCACCTCAACAAAGTTCGACTTCATCCACCAGCGGTAGCGAGAGTGGTGGCGGTAGCGGCAGCGGCGGTGGTGGCGGGAGCGGTGGCGGGAGTGGTGGCGGGGACGGGAGCGGTCCGGGTGTGCCCCCGCAGAGCGCGTTTATCGAGCAGATGAAGGATAACCTCAGGGCATGTAGGAAACACGAGAATGGGGCGGTCAAACGTAAAGGCGCCTTCCCCTACAACGGAGGATGGGCGAATCCTCCTCTTCCTTCGCTGTACACAGGCTTAGGTGAGACGTTCTCTCGGGTGGGTTGTATGTTGTTCGTAGTACACGCGAGTGTTCTATTTTTCGAGTAAGAAGAGGTTTCACGTCTCTCGCAGAGGTAGTAGGCAGGCAGATTTTTTTGTTTGAAGCTGCAGCGAGATGACCTGTTGCTTTTCTGTTCCTCTGACTCCTGCGCAGGTGCACCACCTCTCGAGCCTTTTTATCTGAAGAAGGTTCTCGTGTGGGTGCCAGAGTACATTTGGGAAGACGTCCACATCCCTTGCCCGCATTGTGGAGCGCGTGCACAGCCGGACGGGGACGGGTGGAACACTGAGCCACGCCGAGTGTTTCTGGAGGACGATGTGTGCTACATGATCGGATTCAGGTGTGCGTCCAACGGTGAACATGCGGGTCTTTGGTCCATGTTTCTATGTCCTCCTCTCTCCCGCGCATATATTGTGGTTCGTACAACGGACATATCCCACATTTCCTGCATGCTTGCATTGCTTTCTGTCTTGTGTTGCTTGGCCTGGCCGCAGATACGAATGCAAGGAGTGCACGCGCGCGAACAAGGAGGATAGGTCGGAAGACGAGCGAACAACTCAGACGTTCAACGCGTGGGATCCCGCCGTTTTGGCCAGGATGGATGACTTTGTGTCGGAACAGTTTCCGTTTGTCCTGACGAAAAAGGCGGCGATCAATAGAACCAACCATAGTTGACCGCTTGGCAAACGACCTCCTTGAGGGCAAGGGCTTTGCAGCGGTTTCAAAATCGCTTGCGCAGGCGTATAACTCACGGTATTTCAGTCAGATGCGATCTTACGTGTCGCTAGCCAAAAAAGGCATATCTAAGTACAGGGGGTTGTATGGCCAACAATCCAACCCCGACGTCCCGAAGTTCGCCGGCACGGGAGACCCTTCGGGTTACAACAGCAGCTCCCCTTCGGCTCACCACTTAGCAGATATCTGGAACAAGTGGTTCTACGAAACCCCGGTTGTGCAGGTATGTACAAGGTTGCTACGACATCGAACTCTGACAGCCTCTCTACCGCGAGGAGAACAACATACCGCTACCACAGGCCATACCTACGTGTAAAAATAGACCTTCATGCGGTGCGCTGCATTTTTCCCCGTTCGTCTGAACCATGATAACCAGAACGACGGGCGCTCCTGGACACATCAAGAGTATCTGCAGCTCCGAGCTCAGCTGATAGATGGTCGTCTGCTAGCTGGTGATGCTTCCTTCAAAGTACGCCAAGGTCATCCGGTTAGCTACTGGCGAAGATGGGACTCGCGCACTGCCTGTCTACGGAATTTTCACCATCATGAACGAGTACGACCAGGTGAGGTGACCCTTGTGGTGGAAAGGTGCTTGCTGATAATTTTTCCATACTTGTACGCGTACCGTATCACACGCCAGTACGCCTGTGTCAGCATTGACAAGTCGTGGAAGGCATGAAAATTACATCCTCCCGAGTGCTTTTTCTCCCAGGTGGTATTTTCGAAGGCCATGTCCACTGCATCGGTCTACGACCTCAAGAACGACCCGAAGATGTTGTTCGTGAAATGCGTCGTCGGCCATGGTTTCACGCTCCCGGTCATCTTCTATTCCGGTACGTTGGGTGTTATCAGTTGTCTCGGGCAAATACAGGTCAGGTCATGTCTTGGGTGGGTTGCGTGGAATCGTGCGGAATACCGCGGACCTTTAATCCCGCTTCCACTTATATTTCTTGCACAGACGGCTGCTGCGAGGATCGACAACTGCTGCTCTGGATGTTCAAGGAGATAGAGTCGGAGAACCACGTGCGCTTGTACGATGCCGCTGCAGAGGGTGCGATTGAACTGTTGCCCGAGCTGACGTTCCCCCCTGGCAAGAGAGGCGAGCTGGTCTATGACCTGAGACCTGGCGTCAATGTGTGCTTGAGCGTGATTTCTGTGACTCCCTGCCGCGGCCGTTGCAGGTGCAGTACGCCTGCCTGGATGCGTACGCGTCCGTTCTCCTTTATCAGGAGATCGGAAAACTCCAGGATCCTATTCTCTCCCCTCCTCCGAAGGATTTGCCATCCGGAACCGAGGTGCGTGGATGCAGCTACGGAAGCCTCGCGTTGTTCGGCCCAAGTTACCCGCCCCCGACCAAAGCTCATGCTTGGGTAATCTTCACCATGACGTCGCGTTTCCTCTCGCATGCTACCGCTGCCGTTTTTGCTCTCGTCTCGATTATGCCAGGTACGACTCTACACCAACAATCATGCCAGCTGTGTTGGTGTTGGAAGAGTGGTGGACGATGATGCCGCTGCGGAAGCCTTGGCCACTTGGGGCGTTAGGGGGAAAGGCGTGGACAGCGAGTCGTAGTCAGCGTCAGCGAGGTGTTCAAGCCTGCAGCGTACGTGGCACACATGGGTGCACCTCCTGTACCCCCTGCGTCTTCAGATGCGGAAGGTGGACCTGCTACGTCTCCGAGGGCCGGTCGTGCGACGATGGAGGACGTGCAGAACGGCGGCGGTGCCCAACTTGTTCTTTGGGATATCGACCACGTTCGTCTCGCGAGCGAGTGGAAACCACCTCCTGCGGCAGCAGCGTCTTCAGCGAACGTGAACACGAGTGCAGCTTACAACGACGACAACTAGTTCTACTTTTACCCGACCCCTCCGCACGTGGTGCAACCAACAGGTAAAATTCCTGGCGCCCATCCACCCTCGTTGAAATCGTGCTGAACGGTTGTACGTACGCCTTTCCTGACCGACGTTTTCTCTCTTCCCCCGTTTTTCTTCGCGTGTATGTTCGCAGAGGAAGACCCGGACGACGGAGTTGAGGATGGCTGCGACGGCCATGACTGCGGCGACGCAGGTAGCTCCGGCGGTAGCGATCATTGGGGCGGGGCGGGAGGCGAGGCCGAGGCCGAGGGGAGCGGGGGCGGTAGCGGTGCTGATGTCGCCATGGATTACTGGGTGCGTGGTCTCGAAGCATCGGTGGCAGCTTTATTCGGGGCTGTTTTGCGTAATGCGCTGTTTTTGTTTCATCCGGCGTTCCAATATCGTTGATGAATGTGCGTCAACTGTCTTTAGGGAGGCTGCCAGCCTGCGCTGAACGTTCGCCTGGATATCTTCCACGCACTGCAACGCATTTCGAGGCTGTGTAAGACCAAGCACGGCGCCTTCAAGCCCTTCATGGCGCGACTGAGAGACGCTTGCTTCATTGCAACGCGGATGACATCAAGGAGGCACGTGCTGTTGACGTCGTTGTCCTTGGCGTCTTATTTGCTGTCGACGTGAGTAGGCCTCGAACTTCGGCATCAACGTATGTATATCATGACCAACATCAAACCTCGCTTTAAACCGCAGGTAGAACGAGCGCTTGAAGGCCAAGGGATGACATCGGAAGCCATTGCTGAGTACAAAGACAAGAACTGGACGTACTTCTTGCGGAATTGCCGGCGATTGGTGCCGGAGCCGAAACGACTAAATACTCGAACGCTTCAACTCCGTCATTGAAATGTTCGGGAACGTGGTGGATGCGAAATCCGGAGAAAAACTTCTTCGGTCGGACGCGATGAAGGACGTCAACCTGCTCCTCAAGCATATCGAGACCGGCTGCCTAAGCGACCCTGAGGGTGTGCCGCTGTACTACCCGACGGGACAGAATGCCGCGGGGATCACGACTCATCGCTGCGTGCGAGGCACCAACTGCACCGAGGTACCAGTTTTTTTTCGCTCGGCGTGTGCATATTATCTCAGGCGTTGCGTCACAGCCCGCTGATGTTGGCATCCCTTCTGATTACATCGTCTTCCTGCAGTGCTGGTATCTACGCAACTACTCACCTAGCGTGTTTCCTCGCCTATTCGACGTACTGCCCTTCAAGGGTTATCACCGCTACCTTCGCAGGCTGCTGTCATCGTACTGTGCATCTCCTGCACTGGCCCATTCTGTTCTCCTCGAGTTCAACTTCCGCTGGAACGTCAGGATGGCTGTGAAGAACCGCGGCCTACCAAGGGAGGTTGGAGAGTTCTTCGACCAGTATGAGACTGAGATAATTCAACGTGACACCGCTAGCTGGTACCCAGACAATCCCCTGTTCCCTGAATGGGTGTCTGCGCTGGACGTAGCAGACACTGGTGAGAGAAGCGGCCTTTCTCAGAGCATGTGGGGGCCTGCTAGTGGTGGTGACGCGCCGGGCGATCTTGTTGACGAGCAAGCGTCGCCCCAACATGCCATACCCATGCCAAAGCTCACGCATTCTGCGAAAAAGTACGCCGAAACGATGAACATCGGCATGCCGTGCACGCCCGTTCACACTGGAGCAGAGAGGCGGAAGTTTACAAGCGAGATGAACAGCTATCTCTATGTGCCGGGAGAGGCGAGGGGGAGGAGGCAGATCTACCAAACCATTAACTTTGATAGGTGGTCCCACGAATGGAACAACCATTGTGCCCAAATCGAGAGTGGCGCCGTAGAGTGGGAGGCAGTGTACCGTAAAACCTCCCACCAGCTGGAGTCATACTACAAAAATAATGTAGTTGAACGCGCCAACAGTAGAGTGACGATGATGGCTGTACAAAGCATGAATAACTACCTGCGCGCGAGGCTGCAGGACGGGGAAAGCGGTGAAAATTTTGACGGATTAGTCGGTACCATGGCCCCTCCTCCTGTTCCGCGGAGTGTAGCCGGAGGGGGTGCTGCGGGTGCGGAAGGATTGCCGGAAAATGTAGAGATGGGTGGTGGCGGAGATGATGACATGGGGGATGGTGAGGGTGACGGTGGAGGCAGGGATGACGTAGGAGAAGCCCCACGAAAGAAAGCCAGGGCAGGCACACGGGGGGCGCAGATGTGCAGTACGTGCGGCCACCGCAGCCAGCAAGGCTCGTACAGGAGCGCGCACCCTACCTCGAGAGAAAAGGGGGGGAGGCTGCCATGCAATGTGCCACCAGAGGAGTGTGGGCCGGAGAGTGAGAGAACAGGAAAAACAAGAGGAGGAACACGAAGTCTTGGTCTCAATGTGATTGTGCGAAGTGCACAGCAGTTGATGGTTGAAGAAACGTGTGTTGGCGTAGTATTAGTAGGTAGAGTTGCATTGCACGGTTCAGTTTCAAGATGTTCTCACGTTATTATCATGTTCTGTTCTCCTTCGTGGTGTGTGGCAGCAATTTTCAATTTTCATCTTTTCGAACTGCTTGGAAAAAATCCAAAGTGCGCAGGAGCTAAAACCACTCAACAAATGGTGATGGTGGCTTTGCCCTCGCACGGGAAAAGCGTTTTGCTAAAAATGGCGGGGGGGGCGATCTTGTTGCCTCTAGACTTGGATCGCGCTTGTCACGCATTTTTCCCCATGCGCAACGCTTTGGTACAAATAAGCACAACGCTTTGACCTAATCACCAATTCGTTTCGAACATGCAGGGAAACGAAACGCAGAAAACCATATAACCATTGATCACCGCGTCGACGAGCAACTGTAGTTAGTTAACGTACGCTACTATTTTCTGATTTTTGTGGGAAGTTTTTCCTGAATAAGAACGCCTCTCGGATTTTTTTCGCGCTCCGCGCGAAATAACTAATAGAGCCCCAGGTGTCCCCTATGTATGGGAGGTGAGCCGGTCGCCCCGGTGGTCTAGTTGGCATCCTCGAACCCTTCTAGAGGTTCAGGCCAGGGGTTCGAATCCCGGCGTAAGCGAGCTTTTCTTGCAAACAAAGTGAGTTTTTCTCTCGCTTTCGCTCCTGGCCTATTGGATAGCGCGAGTTCGTGTGTACACAGAGGGAAGAGAGTGCTGAACTCTTCTCGCAGTAAAACGAAGGCAACGTACCGCAGGAGGGGAGGGTAGAGAGGGGCTCTTCTGTTGTTGTTGTTGTTGTTGTTGTTGTTGTTTCTCACATTAGCTCTATAGTGTAGTCCACGAAAAATGGGGAGCCCGTGGTCTCAAAACCCGGCACATACGACGCCGCGGGGGAAAAAAAAAAACAGGTATCGCACCGACCGTTCGAGAAAAGAGCCCTCGGAAACCGATCAAAATAAGACAAAAACAGAAATAAAGGAGGACGCTTCCCACACCCGCCCAAAGAAAAATCAAAGGGTAACGTACCAGCACCAGGCACTACGCACCAGGGCATGGGAGTAACGGAGCAAACAGAACAAAGAGGCGGCAGATGGGCAGACAGCCAGACGTACAAAAACAAAGGCAACAGCAAAAGCGAGATCAAGGTACCCAACACGGCAGAGGAGGCAGGGAGGTCATGAAAAAAAGAAACACAGAAACACAGCACAGAGGCCGAAGGCAATACAAAGGACATGGACTACATAAAGGAGTAGTCTATAGCATACAGCAGGGAGGGAAACAGGGCGTAACAGCATCAGCCGGGTACATAGTTCGCCACAAGTGCTGCCTCGGCCGCCCTACTCGCTTCTACAGCAGT